ATCTATCTATCTATCTATCTATCTATCTATCTATCTATCTATCTATCTATCTATCTATCTATCTATCTATCTATCTATCTATCAAGCAAGCTCATAATAGCTTTTAAATCGTTCTTACGGGTATAAGTCATTGCTCCTGCATCAGTAGTTTGTTAAATTATAATTTATAACTATAACCCGCCACTGTTAAAGCATGAAAACAGGCTTGCTCAGATGCAATTGTAAGGTGGGTTCTTGGTACTTTGGACTGGCAGCAGCTGTTTTCCTCATCCGTTCATCCCCTCTGATGTTTTCAGTGAAGATGGAGATGAAGCCATGCATCAAGATACAGATTTCGATGTGGCCGAACTAAGGGATGGTGGGAAAGTGAAGTTGAAATGGACCCAAGAGGAGGTGATTGCGTTTCGACTTCTTGTTTCTTCAGCGTCATGTGACACAAAGCTAAACATGTTTATGTTTCCAGGATGATCTGCTGAAGGTGCTGGTTCAAAAACTGGGAAGGGATAACTGGAAACACATTGCTAGCTTCTTACCAGTGAGTCAGACCTTTCTGACCATCATGTTTGGTTGTTTATTGTTTACACAAAGCTCTTGAAAGGCRTTATTTGTCTTCAGAATCACACCGAGCAGCAGTGTCATCACCGCTGGTTTAAGATCTTAGATCCAGGTCTGATCAAAGGTCCTTGGACCAAAGAGGAGGACGAGAAGGTGGGCAGCGTTTTATCGTAGAATATTTCATGAGATTAGTTTGTCGGACAGTATTTATTTATTTTCTCTACAGGTGATTGAGCTTGTAAATCTGTACGGGAACAAACAGTGGGCAATGGTAGCCCGGCACCTCAAGGGCAGGCTGGGGAAGCAGTGCAGAGAGCGCTGGCACAATCACCTCAACCCCAACGTGAAGAAGTCATCGTGGACCGCTGAGGAAGACCTCATCATTTACAAAGCTCACTGTCTGCTCGGGAACCGCTGGGCCGAGATTGCAAAGCTGCTCCCTGGAAGGTCAGTAAATACCTCTACATCTTCTTTTGTAGAGCTTGTAGAAATAAAGCGTGCTTACCTAAAAAGATGACGTTCTGTCAACAGGACGGACAATGCTGTGAAGAATCACTGGAATTCAACTATAAAACGCAAGCTAGAGATGGGCTTCTATTCCAACGAGGTTTTCCAGCCAAGTGAACGTGAAGAGCTGCTGGCATGTATTAATAAAGATGTGCAGGTGCGTTGTTTTTCTCTGTCAGCTTTATTTAAAACGGGGATATTATGTTGTTTCTGAGCACATAGTTCTATTCTTTACCACAATCAAGTAACACTTACCTTCAGTTGTTTTGAAACAGCTGTATAAATCAAAAATATATAGGACTATCTAAAGACATTGATAGTTGGCCTGTTTTTCTTAAGAACCTCCTACAGTTTYGGACACTCCCACTTCAGCAAGTTTTCAAACAATGCCTTGGGGGAGGGGTTCTCTGTGGGGC